TAAATAAATTGATGATTTAGAAGATTAAGATATTAAATTATATTGTGGTGATGGAAATCAATCAAAAAAAGAGAAATGTGATGATGGAAATAAAGAAGATTTTGATGGTTGTTCAAGCAAATGCGAAATAGAGGAAAATTGGGATTGCAATTTGGAATAACCTAATATTTGTTATCTAATAACTAAATTTTCTTTAATTTATTTAAATCAAACATATGACCATTAATATGTTTAATTGTAATTTACAAATCAAGTGAAATAAATTTAAAAATTCAATTTTACTTAATCAATCTTAACTGAGATATATAATTTAAGTTAAGATTAATATTAAGTAATTATAAATCCAGTAGTGAATGTTTATGAAACTTAGTTTACAATGGCAATATTTGAATTTGATATATTAAATTTAGAATAGATTTCATTTTTACCAAATTTATCAGTTTCATTCAATTCCTCTTTAATTGATAATAATAATATGGCAGTAGATCTCTCTAAATAAACAATTTAACTTTAACAACCTAAAGTAATGAGTAAGGACTTAATTAATGTTGCAAATAAATTTTAAGACCTTGGAAGTGCATTAATGATAGGTTTAGGAGCTATTAGTGTACTAATGTTATTCTTTGGAGATCCATAATAAAGTTTAGAAATTTTTGACACTTTACAATTTTAATCATATTTAAAATTTGTAAATGTAGTTTACCCTTAAAATCTATAAATATATTTTCATTCATCTGATATTGTAACAGTTAATCCTATTCTAATAACCTTTAAAATAAAAGATATTTTTCATACTATAATTTAAGATAATTTTATTTAAAGCATAGGTAAACTTTAAGAATATTAAATTAATGCTGATCTACTCATAAATATTTAGAGTTAGTTATTCTAAATTAGTTTAATTGTTTTCTTGTATATAATTTGTTTATTTTATCCAAGATTCTTTAACAATTATTGTTTTACTTCTAAATTTTTTTATTTTATTAGCTCAAGTAAATCCAAATTTTTAGAAAAGTTAGGAATTAAATTTTATAAATTTAATAAAAAAATTATCAATCTAAGAAAACTATATACTATAAAAGGATTTAGGCAGCTTTTTTATGCAAACTCTTGGGATTTACTTTTTAAAGTACTCCTATTTATAACATCAAATAATTAACAAGGATATCGATCTATCATATCTTAATGTATTTGTTTTTTAGTTTTAAGTGTGTTCATATCATTGTTATGTTAGCATTTTAAAGGAATAAATAAAAATCTTGATTCTTCTATACTCAGAATTCAATAGCATGAAGGTATTTGCTAATTAAAAAAACTATTATTCATCTTAATATTAATTGATGTACAAGAAAGTGATATATTTTAATGTACAATGATAACTTTGCTTATTTTTGTATATATAGGATTCCTATTCATGATATAATAAAATATTCCAAAAATAGAATTAATTGGATTAATTTGGATGGAAGCTCCAGTAATGCTTTTTACATTGTCAAGCTTAGTCTATTGTACTGATTTTTAAAACTATTTGACAAATGATTTAAAAATTTTAATAGGTTTTGGTTAAATTGGACTTTTGATTATTGGCTTGTTAGGTCCACTAATTAAACTTGGAAATAAACTATACAGAGACATTTAGTAATTTTATCAAAAGAAATAACAAAATCATGTAATAATTTTTGATGTTTCCAATATTTTAAACTTTGATAAAATCAAATGATAATCATTATTATAATATAATATCATAATTTATTTTAGTAATAACCCAATAGGATTATATATTTAAATACATAATACTATCATTATTAAATGTATATTTTAAAAAAAATAGAAATCAATCTATTAACACATACAAATCATAAAAGATAAACAATCATCATTATTTTTTAGAATTAAAACTTATCTTTTTAGATATTATTTATAAATTAAGTTATAATTTATATGTCAATATCTAAGATTATCTTAATAACGTATTTTCATAGAAGTATTCCATAATCTTATCACTTTTTTTTAACATCATTATAGATTTTACATCAATTACTTTTAATAGTTCTTTCTAAACACATAATCGAAATTTTATTTTTTTGCGATCAAAATGAAACCAAAATATCAAGCACCAAAAACTGAAGTTTGGGTCATCAAATAATTGGAGACTATCGGATTCTTACTTGGTTAAAATGAGAAAATGAACCAGGAAATTGAATAAGATTTTTGGTGGATAGCTAGTAAAATAAGAATAAGGTGAAATATAACTGGGATTTTAATAGAGATAAGTCAAGAAGAATAGTCAGAGAGTGTATAGAGGAAATAATTTAGATTCTAGACACTAAGTAAACCTAATGAATTAAGAGAAGATTAGTTGTAATAGATTACTAATCATGTTAAAAGTGAGTTTTCTACTCTTGATTGAACTTTTGAGATGATAAACTCTTAGATTGGAGTATTAAAATTAGGAAACCACATTGTGGGAATAGTCACTAAAGGAGTGCTTAAAAAGACTTGATCTTTCGGCTTAGCTATAGATTGGATAGGTTCACTGTGAAGCATGTGGACTTTATTTTTGATAGTACCAAGAGTAATACTAGGTGATGCTCGCTTGATTTGAAGAGTATGATTCTATTTTTAAATATTGATACATAATAATTTGAAAAATTTTAAGAAGTATTTTAGGCATGAAATCAAATATTAAAATAGCATTGTAACATTAGTTAATCTCATTAAAATTTGATTCTTAATAATATATTATTTATCTCGTAATTATAATCTATTTTATTTTCAATTAGTTTTTAATTTAGTTTTTGTAAGACAGATAGACTACTTCTCGGATCATGGGTGATTCTGTTAGAATCTTCAAGAAATAAGGATATCTTTTTGGATTCAAAGAGATTCATAAGTAATCCGAGAGGTTAGGAACGACATCGAAAATTAAGAGCTATATCCATTATATTCACTTATTTTATCCAATTATTCTACCTATAATTGAAATGGCGAAGGCATGGCCTATGAAAAAATAGCTGAAGGCACCAAAAGTAAAGAATTCTGATTATAGATTTATATTTTGTGTAGAAAATATATTATAAACTTGCTGGTAAGGTTTTTATCATCGATGACTTTATTATTAACCGTTTTTCTAATTGCTGGTTTTATCTTGTTATGGAATCATTTTCCTATGAATCAGTTTTTCTATTATTTATTTCATCTAAACATCCTTCAACTAATAATCATCAAATATGAAGAATTTCATAAATTTTTGCCATGTTAACTGAAAGTCTGAATCTATTAAGCAATTTTAAATTTGAGTTTCTAAGCTGATTAGATAGAGCTAAAATATTGAAGGTCGTTGCAATTATGCATTATTAAAAATATGTTTCTATAAATATTTTATCAAACATGAGCCTTTACCTCAATTTATCTTCATGATATGATCCATTATCGCACTTTAATTCCCTTACTTTTTGTATTCATAAATTATTGAAAACTCCAGATTTCCTTTTACTAATTAATAACCTCCATTGATGCACTTTAATAAGTACATGGAGTAAATCAGGAATATTTGTATATTTTGTCTTTAAACGATGACATCTGTATATGCCAAAAAACATAGATCACACAGTCTATTATGTATTTCACTACTTTCAGAAAGCAATAATTGTAAATGTTCAATAAAAATTGTGATATTGATGACCCTATAATGATCATAATATTAAAATCCTCCCTTTTAATTCATTTAATCCATTTCACGATCATACAAATATTCCTCTAGTGAAATCAGTGTAATTTTTCAATATAACTCAAGATGTTATAAATTGATGTGAAACACCATTATATGAGATAGTTTTATCTCTTGCCATTTGGCTTTGTAATTCTTAGACCAATTTAATTATTAAATTGTTCAGGTTAGGTATCTGTATTGGCATATATTAGAATTTTTATCATATAGTTTTATGCCATTAAGCTAGCAAAAATCTCTTGATTTGAGATTGTTTATTCCATCCTAATTCATTAAGCACCTGCATATTCCATTAAGGCTCCTCTAATTCCTCAACAATCTCAAGAATTCACCTTTGTTGTAGCAAATAATTCATCGAACTATTAAAAAGTTTTATCAATACATCAGTAACTCTTTAAATTTTTTATTCTTTCTTGCTTACTATCTAATTTTTTCACAAACTTTTTATATAACTTAAAGAATCTATATAAATCTTTAGCCTTAGTTTTATTAAATTTTGAGTAAACATTTTCCTGTAATCCCTCCCTACTATAGGTATTTCTATTATTGACATTAAAATGAAAAGATGAAAATTTTGAGTTAATTTCAGAAATCCTAAAGAAATATTTACCATTTATAAATTATAAAGACAAAGTATAATTTAGAATTTGAATTAATAAAAAAAAAACAAGTAATAAAAGTAAAGTTTAAAAAAGATTCTAAACCCCCTTTAATCTTTAGAATAACTTTCTTTTTATGAAATTTTCTTCATTTCAAATTAAATTTATAAAAAAATAAATTTAATGCCAAATTTATTTATTATAAATAATTCATTTTGCAGAGTATTATAATCTTATAGAATAAAAAAAATATATGCAAGAATGGCATTATAGCATTGTATCTGCCTTGGTAATATAGCTAAATAGATATATTAAATAAATTTTATATAAGTATAACAATTATTAAGCATTTTTTCCTTATGATTCTCAACATTATAGAATATAAAAGTCATAAGATTTACTAAATAAGGATGACTAGATCAAATAATCAAATTATTATTTATGATAAAAAATATCATTTCATTGATAATCATTGCTTTTGGAGCAATATGTGGAACATAATTGACAATCTAAATTACTAATTAATGCGAATGCTCGTAATTTAGTCAAAATTTTTGTGGAACTTTATAAAGCGATTAAACTTGTTATTGGAATAATACTTCTCAAGCTTGTCTACGAAAGGGATGCTAGTAATTACAATCATAAGAAACTTGTCTTCAAAATTTTTTTGAATGTTATTGGAATTGAAGCTATTGTTAATAATTTACTTCTTGTTCATAATTAACCTATCAAAATATATCTTGCACTTAATAAAAACTTATAACTCTACAAGTTGTTTGTCATTAGATGAATTACCAATATGTTAATTTTTTAATCAAGATTAATGTACACCTGAATAACTTGGTTATCAAGGAACATTATGTTTTTTTTCAAATGATACATAATAATGCTAAACAGCTACATCATGTTCATAATTATAATCATAATCTTAATGTACATAATGGAAAAATACTTGTTAATGGAATTCTATAAATAATGAATGTGTACAATTACAATGTGACAACTTTACAAATTAATCAACTTGTACCAATATCATCTTAGACCTAAATCCATAAACAATAATGCCATGCTAATATGTAAACGGAACTTGTCAGTCAATTGAAAGTGCAAAATAATTAACTTCTTAAGATTGTTCAAATAAGACTCTATCAACATATTATTGGATTTAAGCAAATAATACTACTGGAACATGCATTCCATGTAGTATTACTAATAAATATCAACCCAATAATAAATGTTCATGTTCTAGTTACCTTATTCAACAATGTCAATCATCAAGTTATTGCTAATGGTCAAATGGTGAATGTAATCCAATAGAATGCAATTAAATACTTGATTAACTATCCTGTCTTTAAAATTTAGGATGTAGTTGGTATAATACTTATTGTTCAACATTCTACCGTTGTCCTGTAGCATTTAGTCATCAACAATGTATTGAAAGTTCATTTAATTGTTTGATTTTAAATAATGATAATTGTTAAGTTTTGTCAGATAACTCATGTAGTAATATTTATAACTTATAGTAATGCTAATCTTCATTAGGATATTGTTATTGGAATGGAAATCAATGCTTATAGGTTTAAAAATGTCAAAAAATAACTCAATAGCGTCAATGTTATAGATTTGGATATGCCTGCACCTGGTAAAATGGTAGATGTCAATAATTAACTTGTAATAAGATTTCATTCAAAAATAATTGTATATATACAATTCCAATATTGTATACAAATGATGTTCAACCCTGTGTTTGGTAAAATGGATAATGTTAAGACCTCAATAGTGTAAATAGTTTAGATGCTGCATAATGTCAATCAATATCCTTAGATACTTACAAATGGACAGGATCAAAGTGTGTGAAATGTATCGAATTCTAATAGCAAATTTAAAATTTTCTAGAACTTCCAAATTAATGTAAATGTTATTAACTATTTATTTAATAATAATGCTAATAAATGTCCTATTGTTATTGGTAAAGTGGTTATTGGTCAGGTGGATATTGTTTACCTTATTAATGTTAAAATATTACTAATTAAGCATCTTGTGTATCTAATCCTAATTGTTTTTGGGTTGATCATCAATGTTTAACATTCCAATCTTGTAATTTATTAAAAGGAGCATCTTAATCGGAATGCATAGTTTAAAGCATAAATTGCCCAGCAAGTGATGGAACCAATTGTCAAGACAAATAATATTTATAAGCTTGCTAATCCTATCTAAATTAGAATTAATGTTAATATGTCTTAGGTAGTGATGGCATCTGTTTTTGGCAAAGTAATTTTTGCTAAGTATTGAGTAAATGCACATAAATAAAAAATTAAGAAGATTGCTAATAATTTAAAAAATAATGTTATTGGGGTACTAGTTGTCAACCTGCAAGTTGCTCACAATTCTAAACTTATGAAACTTGTCAATTTTATTATAGTTCAATTAATTCTTATACTCCAGTCCCATGTTAGTGGAATTCAACAACAAGTGTATGCACATAACCAACTAATTACATGACCCAACTAAATTCCAATAATTGTTAAACTAACACTAATAAAGGTGCTAGGTGGAGTTAAACTTTGAATGCTTGTTTGAGTTGTCAAACTCCTTAGCCCCCAAATCCAAAACAGTGTAGCTGTTCTTAACTAATATCTTAAATAAACTGTATGCAAAGTCTGTAATGTTTATGGAATATTCAAACCAATTCTTGTTAACAATTACCATGCTAAAATTTATAATAATCATTATGTATTCAAAATTCATAATGTATGTGGACTGGATCTTGTTAGTAATTTACTTAATGTAGTAATCTAAAGGCTACTACTTCAGAAGAATGTGCTGCTTAATCTCTGTATTGTCCTTACTACAATCCTAATACATAAAAGTGTTAAGTAGCTTCAAAAGAAGAAATTTAAGATTGTTGGGGATTAAGTTAAGAAAATTGCAATTTTCTTATAACACCATCATATTCTTGCATTTGGAATACTTAAGAAAATTTATGTTTGCTGTAAACTAATAATTATTGTGATTTGTATTATAGTCAATATTAATGTTAAAGCAGTCCCTATTGTTATTATTAAAATGGATGTAAACCAAAATAATGCTAACATTTTTATACTAAAGAATCCTGCAAATTTTCCATTAATCCATAGAATTGGAATTATATCTAATCATGTTCATGGCTCAACGGAGCTTGTGTGCCTGCCGATAATTTTTTTTCAGAATAAACTTGTTTCACTAACACAGATTAAACAGCTAGATGGAGCTCTAACATTAAAGACGGTTTTTGCATTCCTTGTAATCTACCACTTCAATAAGTAATTGTTCCAAAAAACAAATGTTTGTGTTCTCAATTTCTATCTTTTTAAGAATGTGAACTTGCTTAATGTAATTGGGAAGGAAATTTTTGTGTTGATAAATATTGTGGAGGTTTTAATTAAATTTATTGTATTCAACATCCATCGTGCTATTGGATATATTCAACTAATAATTCTTAAGGTGGTTATTGTGAAAATATTGATTATAAAGAATTAATTTATTCAAAAGACCCATGTACAAAATTACGTGGAAATAATTCCCTAGAATGTCTATCATAAAGTTTACTTTGTCCTGTTTCTTTAAATGGATTTTGCCAAAATCGAGCACTTTTATAAACATGTTAAAGTCTGAACTCTTTACAATTGTGTGCTAACAGTCTTGGATAAGAAGGATATTGTACTTATGAGAATTAATAATGTTAAGTTTTAACTAGTTGTTCTTAATTGAAAAATTTTAATGAGTGTTCCATATTCAATATATATGTATAGATCAATTAAATTATAAAAGCTGTTAATTTGTTACAAGTTAAGGTAAGTGTGAATAATTATATTGTTCATCTTATACGAATAGTGATAATTGTACATATGTATTTGAGAATATTAACAAAGCTAATATTTAAATTTGTGTTTGGAATGATGTTACAAAAACTTGTTCCACAGCTACTTGTTTAATTTAATAAACATATGAAAATTGTTACTTAAATACTGGAGGTACTTATCATTGGAGTAGCTCTTAAACAACATAAGGCTCTTGTGTTTCATGTTCAATAAATTGGATAAAGCCTAAGAATATTTGTTCATGTACACTATTGAATTAAGTTGAATGTTCGTTATCTAAACCTGTATGCAAATTAAACTAGAACAATGAATGTGTAAAATCATAATGCAATGAAATTTTTGATTCAGTACATTGTTCTTAATAAAATGAATGTATGTGGAATAATAATTAATGTGTAACATTTACAAAATGCACGGATTTAAATGGAAAAACTAATCTGGATTGTGTTGCATAATCATTATAATGTTAATCAATTTAAAATGGAATATGCTAATCAGTATCAAGTTTAAATTCATGTGAAAAGTATTCAGAGTCTTAATGTACATTAGGAAGATAAGGATCTGAAGGTTTTTGTTATTTTAATTCTTCAAAAGATGTTTGTTAAGTGATTTCATCTTGTGATTAGATTAATAATTTACAATATTGTGAAAATTTGAATCCTGCATGTAAATGGAGTTACTTTTTCTCATCATGTGTTCCCTTTTAGTGTTAAGATTATCTTTAAGAAGAAGAATGCAAAAATGTTATAGTCAATCTTACAGATCCTTAAATTGAGTTATGTGTTTGGTAGTAATACAAATGTGTGCCATTTGTTGATACATACTATAGGTTTGATGATGCTATATGTTACTTGAAATCAGATCATACCTACAGATGGGTTAAAGAAGACAAATTTGGAGTCAGATGCTAGAAATGTCTCTAAGCATTCCTGATAAACATCATAGCATTTTTATTATTGAATTTAATATGATAAATTTAAATATAAAATATTAAGCATCATAATCAATATAAATTCTGTCATTACTTTTAGTTTTCTAATCTTTTATTCCTAAATATTAATTTAGTTATTAATTGATATTAGGACTACATAAGAAAAATTTGGCTCAATCAGACTGTTTAGTATAAGAATAGATTAGGATAATTGAAAGTGTAAATTCTAAAATCATTTGCATTTGTTGACAAAAAAGCAATTTAAAACAAAAAGAGAGAAGAAAGTGCTTAAAAGGTTCTTGTATATGAATTTCTAAATTCAATTATTTTAATATATATTAATACTTAAGAAAACATTCTCAAATATATTAATTTATTATATCAACCCAGACATAAACTTAAAAAACCTAAACCATATGATGAAATTATTCAAATTCTATCTAAATTTTATAAAAATGACTCAGAAGTGCTTTTCCATATTGGTAAAATCTATTTAATATTTAAGTATCCATATGATTTTTTGTGATGAGTAACCATCAAAGATATGGGAAGAATGTTCACGTTGAAAAAGTAATACGCAAAAGCTGTTAACTTTTTTTGAAAGCATGAATAATAATAATAATTAGATATACTTATTTTTATTAAGCCATGCTTTATATGGAGAATTGTGAATATGGTAAATCTTTTTTTTTATGCCAATCAATAATTAGCATGTTTTCCAAAAGATCCAGATTCTTATGGTTTGAGAAGTGTATATTTAAAATAAATTTATAGGGAAATATTATTTAAATATATTTAAATATGAATAATCAATTTTAAATCTGAATATATGTTTGAAGTTGAGACCCAATAATGCTATTACCTTAGGAACAAAAGGTTCTGAAATTAATATATTTTCAACAGAATATGCATTTATGATGCTGGGCTAAATTCGTGAAGGACATTAATGTCTTAATGAAGCTATTTAATTAAATCCTAAAATTGCAGAATTATATGTTGATATAGGTATAAGTTTTGAAGGGATGAGAAAAATTTACCTAGCAATGTTATCGAATGATTAAGCATCAAAATCTAACATGATAATCCAATTTTAATATTAAGATTATATAAATTTGATATTTCTAAATAAACAATACAAAATTGCATTAGCATTAAAATTAGATAATAAAAATCAACAAAACCAAATTAACTTCAAATTATAATGAAATAATTCCTAAAATATCTTAATCTTATCAAAATTATATTGCCTTATTCTATAACATATCTAGTTTCTTATTGGGATATTAAATGTAACTGATATGAAAAAATTGACATATGAATATCAAATTGGTAATATTAAGAATTTAATAGATATGAATCATCAATTAGGAAGATTATATTCTCTAATATCTTCATTTTTAGAGGAATTGAGTGTAATTTTTGTAAAATTAAATCTTTTTGAAACACTAAATTCCAAAAGCAAATTAGGGGAAATAAATGAAGGACAGATGGTTGACTAGATAAGGTTGAACCCTTCTGTTAATTTCATTGGACTCTTTAAAATGATGATAGTAGCCTCCAATTAATCAAGGGAATATAAAGTAGAGACAGTGTTAGATAGAGGTCAAAAAATCAGACCTTAATTAAACTCTGAATAACAAGGTTGATAATATCTCTCAAAAAGAAATTATAAATATTTCCTTTCATTGATATTATTATAATCTTTTATTAAAATTCCATATAAATAGAGCAATCCTCTGAAAGAAATTAAGGTTCATTAGTCATCAATTCGATATTTAATTTAGAGACCCTTTTTGCATAGAACTAATTTTAAAAAAATTAAATACGTAAAGCCACTTAATTAAGTTAATTATTCATTTTAAATAATAATAATAATTTCTAGAGAATTTTAATTTTAAAGGTTTTGAAGGATTTTAACCAAAAAAGATATTTAGAATTACTACATATATATTTGTACTGACACTTACTTTTACTATCAATCACTTTGTTCGTTTAATTTCTAATTCAAAAAGCCTCAAACAATAAGAAGATGATATTAAACTTCTTTAAAAATGTATTGAATTAATTTTTGATTGTGGAATACAAATGTGAATAAGTTATATTCATACATATATATATATTTTTTGTTATTGATATTTACAATATTTATGGTTCTATTATGATTTTAAGCTTATGTCTCTATCCACAATTTAACTATTTAGTTGTTAAATTTATTAATAATTTAATAACTAATTAAAAACTTAATAGAAATTGGATTTTATATGTAAGGATCATCCTTAATCCTCTGCAATTGTCTGGTTTAAATCAATTGGCTGTCAATAGAATAGAATTAATGCCTTATTGTCAGAAATAAAAGAAAAATTGTTGACATTTCAATGATGAAGTTGATGATATTGATTAATGAAACTAATTTGTGATAGCTATATTTCAACGTTCAAGGATCTCATAACAGAATGGCAACTTTAATATAAATCAAATAACTAAAATCTGTTTTATAATACAAATTCTCTATATAAGAAAATAACATTAATTAATGAATTAGCCCTAATTAATCATTTGATACTTTGGTTATATTTGATGAAATGAAGAATCACATTAAATCCAATATCATAGGACCTTTGTAGAGAATCTAGAAAATTTTAGATGATCCATATATGCCATTAGAATTACACCTCATTAAATATTAGATTTATGATTAATAAAGAGTAAAAAATTAGATTGAATATCAAAAAGGTTATTTATTTCTTTAGCTATCTCTTTAAATATTTTAAATAAATCAGATGATGCAATTCAAATATTGGATATATTAATGTTAACTGATCCCATAATTTAGAATTTACATACTAAAAAGGCTATTAATTAATATTATTTGTCAGAAAATTCATTATATAATTGAGTGAATTGTATATTTAATAAAAAAATTCAATAAGTAAAACTGGGATAATTATGAAGAGATCTCTTTATGATTTCTATTTCAGAATCTAATTGTAAAAACAATGAAAAATTTAAATGAAATTATCCTAAAAGTGAACATTATCTATACAGAAAATACTATTATAATATATATAGGATAATATTTGATAACATTAGATACAATATCATTCAAGTATTTTATCGTGCTCCTTCTTCATAAAATTTTACGATAATTTCTAAGAGATTCTTTTCTTTTTAATAAAAATTCTAGATGGCTTACTCATTTAAACTTTTGTGAGAGTTTAATTAAATTGAATGAAAACCTTTAGAAATAAAATATTAAAGTTATTTTGAAAATGAATCTATTTTCAGAACATTTTTAAATGTAAATTTCAAATCTTGCAAGGCTATCTTTTTGTTAAAATCCTAGTTTAAATTCATAGCTTTACCATAATTATAAATTTTTCTAAACTGGGAATTATAAATTTTATTCTTTCAAACTCCAAACTCATAATAAAATATTGTTTATAAAAGTTCATTTCTGCCTAATTTGAAAACTCAATAATATTTCTAAATCAAACTTTTTAATAGAATTTGATTAATTATTAAATAATAAAGATATCAAACTAACAAAATATCATTTAATTCTTCTGGTTTGTTTCTATGCAAACCCGAGTAAAATGAGAGGTATAATTCATTTATTTGTAAAAAACAACATTGACTTTTTTTAAATATAACAAAAACTAAATTTCTTATCATTATTTATAAATTCATTCAGAATTGTAGGGATATTGAATTTTTAAAGTTAATAAATACAATATAAATAATTAATATTAAAAATATTTTATCAATTGTTATGTGTTTTAATAATAATCATAATCTTCTTTTACGTGCCAAAGATATTTGAATAGGGGAATCATTGGAAATCTCTTATACTTCATCATCTATGATCTTTTTAATGGAGTTTTCATACTTTGATTTTGATTTTATAAACACACTCTAAGAATTTCAGCTTTCTCTAATATTATTATTTCTCCAAAGCTTGATAAAATACTTTGAATCCTTTGAATTCTTCTTTCCTATTCTTTGTAATTGTTCAAAGAAATCTTCTGTAAAAATGTCTTTTAAATCCTATTTTTTTCTGAAATTTTCAAAGAACTCATAATAAGCCTCCTATTTTATTAAAATATTCATTAATCTTATTTCTCGTATTTGAGAGTTATCCTCAAATATAATACTTATAACTTCGATTATTATTCAAGAACATCTTTTGTAAATCTGGAAGTAAATATTTCTTATTCACTATTATTTCATTATTATTTCACAATCAGAAAAGTAATTATTATCCTCTAAATGTATACTCTGATAATTCATATTATAGATTTCTTCTTAGCTAATCTTTGAAGCTAACTATAAATTCATTACTTAAGTTACTTCATATTAGGAAGCAATCGTCATCTCTGTCACAAATCTATAAATATTCTCTTTATAATTATGAATAAATTATGCTATTCTTGCTTAGCAAACTACCAGAAAGCATTCAAATTTACTTTTTTCACTTCCATAACAAATTTTACATTATCTTAACCTTTTATGATTTCAATCTAATTTCACTAACAAATAATAAAATAATTTAGATATTTTTTTAATGAAATCTATATTTTGCTTTCTTTGATAGTGAGAAAAAATTCCACTATTAGCTTCTGTATCAGAAAAATGATACTTTAAATTCTATTAAATCTACCTTTAATCACTTCTATATTAAGCCAGGAAATCTTATTCATGATTAACAGGGTCCTAATAATTTCATATCTTTTATTCTCCTCTATAATTAATGTTTTTCATCTTCAATCTATTTGAACAACTTCTATAATCAAAAACATCTGTATATTCATTTTTTTACTTTTCAACTATTTCCTCACAGTAGATACAAACTTTGTCACTAAAATTTTTTTTCCAAATATATGCCCATAAGGCACTTCTAATCTGTTTCATAAAATAATTAATTATTCTTTTCATTAAATATCTTGGTGAAGTCTTCTAATTTGAAAGTGACATTAACTTATCCACTGACGAATCATTTTTCAGTATGTTCATTATATAGATATAGAGATTATTATAATTTCATTAAATAACAATAATATTCTAGCAATACATTTTAAACTTCTTTTTTAATTATTAAATTTTGAAAGAAAAAAATAATTTTTAGGGCTTTATGATCCTGTAGATGATACGCTATGATGATCTAATTAATACATAATCATAGTATAGGCAATTTTATAATAGAATACATAAATTTCTATATTCCAACAGATCATCAACAAAGTCAAGACCAATGATACAGTTGACTATAATTGAAGATCATTTATTAAGAACTTATAAGTACATAAGATTCTTGAGATATTGTAACAGAGATTTATGAATATTATAATTTAAATTTATTATAAGTCATAATATTTAATTATAAGTTTATTTAAATTTGAATATCATGACTAATAACCAAAAATTAATTTCAATGAATTCAAAGATTAGTACTGGATGAAAAAATTCAAAATTTTGAATTAAGCAAATTTGAAGGTAATTATATTTTTTATTTCAGTCAAGTAAAAATTAGGAGCATTCATCTAAAATAGATGATCATTAAGTAATTTTTGCAGCAATTGTAAATTTATATATAATAAATTAGTTATAGAAAATGCAGGGCAAAGTTATTAATTGTACATTTTACTTGAAATATATAGCTTTTTATTATATTTTCTTGATTTGGATGCCTCTATTGATTTTGATAGTAAATGAATTTATAATTGGAATTGTGGCTATAAGAATATGTATGATGATTTTGTAAACTCAGAATTTATGGCCCAAGTCATTTATGCATTCTTAGAAACAAATTTTTTAATAATTATAGGTTTCATTTTTATGAGATTATTAAATTTCAATAATGTATATGGAAACAAAATTTCTTATTGAGTTTAGATTAATTTCTTTAATTCATTATTAATATAATTCTTTTTTTTCTTAACAAAATTTCTTTAATTATGAAACTTATATATAACTTTAAATTCTTTTTTCATTGATATGTGACTTAAAATTTCTTGCAATTTTTTGTTCAAAATTTAAAACCTATTTTTGAAATGTATTTTAATTCATCGATAACTGCATTTACCTATGATAAAAAAAGAAATGTCAAAAAAGATAATTTTTTTTTGAATTTAACTTAATTTTTGAAATAATTTNTAAACTTCTTTTTTAATTATTAAATTTTGAAAGAAAAAAATAATTTTTAGGGCTTTATGATCCTGTAGATGATACGCTATGATGATCTAATTAATACATAATCATAGTATAGGCAATTTTATAATAGAATACATAAATTTCTATATTCCAACAGATCATCAACAAAGTCAAGACCAATGATACAGTTGACTATAATTGAAGATCATTTATTAAGAACTTATAAGTACATAAGATTCTTGAGATATTGTAACAGAGATTTATGAATATTATAATTTAAATTTATTATAAGTCATAATATTTAATTATAAGTTTATTTAAATTTGAATATCATGACTAATAACCAAAAATTAATTTCAATGAATTCAAAGATTAGTACTGGATGAAAAAATTCAAAATTTTGAATTAAGCAAATTTGAAGGTAATTATATTTTTTATTTCAGTCAAGTAAAAATTAGGAGCATTCATCTAAAATAGATGATCATTAAGTAATTTTTGCAGCAATTGTAAATTTATATATAATAAATTAGTTATAGAAAATGCAGGGCAAAGTTATTAATTGTACATTTTACTTGAAATATATAGCTTTTTATTATATTTTCTTGATTTGGATGCCTCTATTGATTTTGATAGTAAATGAATTTATAATTGGAATTGTGGCTATAAGAATATGTATGATGATTTTGTAAACTCAGAATTTATGGCCCAAGTCATTTATGCATTCTTAGAAACAAATTTTTTAATAATTATAGGTTTCATTTTTATGAGATTATTAAATTTCAATAATGTATATGGAAACAAAATTTCTTATTGAGTTTAGATTAATTTCTTTAATTCATTATTAATATAATTCTTTTTTTTCTTAACAAAATTTCTTTAATTATGAAACTTATATATAACTTTAAATTCTTTTTTCATTGATATGTGACTTAAAATTTCTTGCAATTTTTTGTTCAAAATTTAAAACCTATTTTTGAAATGTATTTTAATTCATCGATAACTGCATTTACCTATGATAAAAAAAGAAATGTCAAAAAAGATAATTTTTTTTTGAATTTAACTTAATTTTTGAAATAATTTTTTTATTAAATAGTTCAGCTATTACTTTTTTAAAGAATATTACTTTTATTCTTTTAATAAAAACATATATAATTTTATCATCTAAGATTTAGCAATATATTTTAATCACTTTTAAATAAGAAAAAGAAAATGCAATTATTTAATAAATAAGCTAAAACAAGTAAAAAATATTACAATTTATCTTCTAAGTTTGTTAATTAATATAGTTAAATTATATATTATTTAAATATGTAAATTTTAAACACCATTTAGAAAAGGATTGAATTATTATTACTATTATATTTTATATAAATTCAAATATTTGAGAATTACTCTAATTTACTAAATAAAGTGAAATACCTAAAAATGCATCAATAAATTCTTAATTTGGTAATATCTATTTTGCTAACTTGAAAATAAAATAGGCATCATCAAATTGCTGAAATTTTAATAAAGTAAAGGCTAATAAAATAATTTAACTCCATCTACCTTTTCCCCATAAAGAATAAACATGTTATGGATTTATGGCTAAAGCTTTTTCGTACCATTCTAATGCTTATTCAAATTAATCAATCATTCTTAGACAATCACCTTAAATTTAATTTAATTTAATTTACCTTTTCCCCACAATGAATAAACATGCTATGGATTTATGGTCAAAGCTTTTTGGTACCATTCTAATGCTTATTCAAATTAATCAATCATTCTTAGGCAATCACCTTAAATTTAATTTAATTCAATCTACCTTTTCCCCATAATGAATCAAAATGCTATTTATTTATGGCCAAAGCCTTTTCGTACCATTCTAATGCTTATTCAAATTAACTCGTCATTCTTAGATAATCACCTTTAATTTAATTTAATTTAATTTACCTTTTCCCCATAATGAATAAATATGCTATGGATTTATGGCCAAAGCCTTTTCGAACCATTCTAATGCTTATTAAAAATAACTCATCATTCTTAGGCAAACACCTTAAATTTAATTTAGTTTACCTTTTCCCCACAATGAATCATCATGCTATGGGTTTATGGACAAAGCTTTATCAAATTATTTAAAAGCTTCTTCATTACGATTATTTGATAATAAGTAAATTCCTAAGATTTACTACTTAAAATTTACCGTATCCATATAATCCTAATAGAGAATTATTTTATAAATTAAATGACTTTGAAATAATTACATATGCTTCATCAATCTATCCTAAAAATACTAGACATATTCCTAAAATTATTTAATAAATTTTTTAGACCTTTTCCTGCCATTGTCTCTGCTTGATTTTGATCTTTAATTAAGACTTTATCATAAAAATTGATAGCTTCTTGATATCTTTATAAAGATCTTAGACAATCTCCTAAAAATTTAAAGATTAAATTAAACCATAATAAAAGTAATATTTGTAATTAGATTAATCTAATTCAATAGCTTTTTGATAGAATGACAAAGCATGATTATATTAATAAGTCTATCTTAAACATTCCCCTTAATAAATATAATTAAATAAAACCTATTCCAAAATAAGCTTCTTAATTATTTTAATTAATTGAAATACATTTTCCATAATAATCTTAAGCTTAATAATATGAATTTTAATGTCTTAAGATATCACCTAATTATTATAGTAATATATATACCAATTTTCAATAAAGAGAATTCATATTATGGATTAATTGTAATTATATCTTAATATATTTATTATGCATCTTCTAACTTATTCAATTAAAATAATGAATTTGCTTATATTAATAATAATTATTAACCTTTTTAATACATAATTTCTATATTGTATGGTTCAATCAATAATAACTTATCAAATAGCTAAATTGCTTCATTTTATTTATTAATTTTATTTAAAGAGATACCTATATAAAGATTAATCAAAACCTTTTTATTATTCCTATTTATTGAATTCAATCTATTCATCAGTAATCTAATATTAAATCAGATGTAATTCTAATTTAATAAAAAGATCATCTAAGATTTTCTAATATTTCTTTAAAATTCCCAGAATATTATTTTTCATATGATTCTTAAATTCATCAAATTTAATCAAAGAATCAAGAGCTTATTATATTTAATAATGATTAAATTAATTTAATTTATCTTCTATTCCACAAAATTTGTATGATAAACCAGAAATGAGTTTATCAAATGATTTAATTGTAGATTATTATTAAAGTTTACATTCTTCAATAAGATTTTGTGGTTGTCTTGATTAGTTAATTAAAAATTAAGTTAATTCATGAATACTAAGAACATCTTCATTATAATGCTGGATATGTTTATTCTATTTTTGACAATTCAGACAGAAAATTCTATTCTCATTACAATCTTTTGATCTACACCAGAAAAGAGCAAGATTTTCAGGATGATCTCTACATTTAAAATCCTAACTCTATTAAAACTATGAGTTTTATTTCATTATTATAAATTATAAAAAATCAATCTAAAGCGTATTTCTCTAGAATTATCTTAATTATATGCAATTCATTCTAGAAAGAGTTTGATATTGTTTTCTTATTGCTTCTATAGGCCAAATTTATTATAAAGATGGGATATCGTCAATCTCTTAAAAGATGTAAATACCTATTATTCTTTATGCTTGTAAAAGTATTGAAAAAAACCTAGAAACATAATAAATCATGTTCTGTTTTTGAATTGATTGTAGAAATATTAAATGTTAAAAATTCTATACTATTCTATATGCCAATGCAACGATTAAATAGATTATTGTGGAAATGCTGATAAAGCATATCCAGCATTATAATGAAGATGNCCCCTTAAGATAATTAATAAAAATAAAACCTATTCCAAATTAGACTATTGAATTATTTAAATTTATTGAAATACATTTTTCATAATACTTTTAAGCTTACAAATAAAACTTTTAATTTAATAAGATATCACCTTAATATTATAATTATCAAAATACCCAATTTTTATAAAGATATTTCATGTTTTGGATTAATTGAAATTATTTCTTAGTAGATTTATTATGCATCCTATAACTTATTTAATTAAATTAATGAATTTGCTTATATTAATAATAATTATTAACCTTTTTAATACATAATTTCTATATTGTATGGTTCAATCAATAATAACTTATCAAATAGCTAAATTGCTTCATTTTATTTATTAATTTTATTTAAAGAGATACCTATATAAAGATTAATCAAAACCTTTTTATTATTCCTATTTATTGAATTCAATCTATTCATCAGTAATCTAATATTAAATCAGATGTAATTCTAATTTAATAAAAAGATCATCTAAGATTTTCTAATATTTCTTTAAAATTCCCAGAATATTATTTTTCATATGATTCTTAAATTCATCAAATTTAATCAAAGAATCAAGAGCTTATTATATTTAATAATGATTAAATTAATTTAATTTATCTTCTATTCCACAAAATTTGTATGATAAACCAGAAATGAGTTTATCAAATGATTTAATTGTAGATTATTATTAAAGTTTACATTCTTCAATAAGATTTTGTGGTTGTCTTGATTAGTTAATTAAAAATTAAGTTAATTCATGAATACTAAGAACATCTTCATTATAATGCTGGATATGTTTATTCTATTTTTGACAATTCAGACAGAAAATTCTATTCTCATTACAATCTTTTGATCTACACCAGAAAAGAGCAAGATTTTCAGGATGATCTCTACATTTAAAATCCTAACTCTATTAAAACTATGAGTTTTATTTCATTATTATAAATTATAAAAAATCAATCTAAAGCGTATTTCTCTAGAATTATCTTAATTATATGCAATTCATTCTAGAAAGAGTTTGATATTGTTTTCTTATTGCTTCTATAGGCCAAATTTATTATAAAGATGGGATATCGTCAATCTCTTAAAAGATGTAAATACCTATTATTCTTTATGCTTGTAAAAGTATTGAAAAAAACCTAGAAACATAATAAATCATGTTCTGTTTTTGAATTGATTGTATAATAAGTGAAAATTATTTTAATTACTATTCTATATGCCAATGCAACGATTAAATAGATTATTGTGGAAATGCTGATAAAGCATATAAAAATATTTTTTAACTTCTTCTTATACTTAAAGGATTAAAGCCTTAATTAAATGAACATTAAGGATATAAATTATTTTTTATTGATGAAGATATTACCAAAATATCATAACTAATAAATCACAAAATTTCTAAACACAAATTATTTTATATATTAAAACACTTTATTAAATATATTTTTTTTTAATTAAAAAATGTTGATCTTTTTTAATGCAAAAGTTTTATCATAAGTTATCTAATTGTAATTCTCTTTTAGGTTGCCCAAAATTTATTAAAGCATTAGGATTAACATTTTTTGATCAAGTAATTGAAAAAATATAAAAGCTTTATCAAATAATTTTTGATTCATTCTGAATAATAATTTCAATACTTCATTTAAAAAGAATCAGAATATGAAAATAATTTTTTTATTTTACAATATTTCTTTTATTCAGACTAGCCAATTAAAATATAAGAAATTTTTTTATAACTTTAATTAATTAAGTAATTAAAAAAGTTAATATTTTGCAAATAAATGTTAAAGATATTATAATTGTTTGCTTAATGAAGAAAATTTGGAGACTAAAATATTAAATTTATCAATTTTTTAATTTTATTTTAAAACAAAATTGTGAATAATTGCAAAAATTACCTTCAGGACACAATCTTTGGCTCAGATTTATAGTAAGATTCATCTAATAATAATTTATTATAACCTACAAATAAATACAGAATCTTCCTCTTTATTATAAAAATTAATATTTTTGTAGCCATAATTAAATATAAATTTGCTTAATTTAAACTAGTATCATTCAAAATCAAAATCAAGAATAATTAAACTTTTTCTAAGTCCTTTAATTATCTTTATTAGAGTATTATTTTATTGTTTATTATTACTTCGATCTTTATTAATATAACAGTAATGAGTTATCTAGAACTCACATCACATTAACATCGATGGAGTTTTCTTAAAGGAGAAAAAAATTCTTTCTAGAAAATAGATATTTTCTTTTAATTTCCCATTGATAAGCTAGAATCATGGCATAAATATCACAAAAACGAATTATCAGAACCTTGCCTTTCTGTTGTCTAAATAATTCGGTCTATGAGAAATCTAAATATTTCATATAGGAACTAAAGAAATGACGTCCCGTCCTTATAAATCACCATTAATAAGGAGCTTTGAGGTCTTTCGACATATCAATTGCTAAATTCTCTCCAGTATAATTATTCTATCATGCCTTTTTGAGAATAAAACAAAGATCCCATATGATTATTTTTGTTATTAAAACAATTTCAATTAGAAAAAAATATTGAGTCTATAAAGAAAAATTAAGGCTTTCCTAGTGGTTTAATATAAATTATATTTTTTATTAAACATGATCCTGTTGAAATAAAAAAAAAAAAAAAAAGTGTTCAGCAATAAATTAACACATTGAATAATAAACTAGATTAAAGTTTGAAATATACAGACTTTAATTTGATTTTCAGGAGTTCAGAATTTACATATCTTTAATCNAGCCAATTAAAATATAAGAAATTTTTTTATAACTTTAATTAATTAAGTAATTAAAAAAGTTAATATTTTGCAAATAAATGTTAAAGATATTATAATTGTTTGCTTAATGAAGAAAATTTGGAGACTAAAATATTAAATTTATCAATTTTTTAATTTTATTTTAAAACAAAATTGTGAATAATTGCAAAAATTACCTTCAGGACACAATCTTTGGCTCAGATTTATAGTAAGATTCATCTAATAATAATTTATTATAACCTACAAATAAATACAGAATCTTCCTCTTTATTATAAAAATTAATATTTTTGTAGCCATAATTAAATATAAATTTGCTTAATTTAAACTAGTATCATTCAAAATCAAAATCAAGAATAATTAAACTTTTTCTAAGTCCTTTAATTATCTTTATTAGAGTATTATTTTATTGTTTATTATTACTTCGATCTTTATTAATATAACAGTAATGAGTTATCTAGAACTCACATCACATTAACATCGATGGAGTTTTCTTAAAGGAGAAAAAAATTCTTTCTAGAAAATAGATATTTTCTTTTAATTTCCCATTGATAAGCTAGAATCATGGCATAAATATCACAAAAACGAATTATCAGAACCTTGCCTTTCTGTTGTCTAAATAATTCGGTCTATGAGAAATCTAAATATTTCATATAGGAACTAAAGAAATGACGTCCCGTCCTTATAAATCACCATTAATAAGGAGCTTTGAGGTCTTTCGACATATCAATTGCTAAATTCTCTCCAGTATAATTATTCTATCATGCCTTTTTGAGAATAAAACAAAGATCCCATATGATTATTTTTGTTATTAAAACAATTTCAATTAGAAAAAAATATTGAGTCTATAAAGAAAAATTAAGGCTTTCCTAGTGGTTTAATATAAATTATATTTTTTATTAAACATGATCCTGTTGAAATAAAAAAAATAAAAAAAAGTGTTCAGCAATAAATTAACACATTGAATAATAAACTAGATTAAAGTTTGAAATATACAGACTTTAATTTGATTTTCAGGAGTTCAGAATTTACATATCTTTAATCTCAAGAAGTATAATTTGAGAGGATTTGTAAATACAAAGAGTGGTTACTCCCTCCCTATTTTAATTCTGCACCCAGTAATATTTATATAAGAGAATTGAAATTCCGCATAAATCTCAACATCAATATTGTTGCATTAGACTCTTAAGTCATCTTTTTACATATGATTTAAAATTTAAGAGAAAGAAAATTCTAATCTTAATTCATTTATCATTAAAAGAATGAAAAAATTTACTTCCTAAGACAAAATTTTTTAACAATATATTGATTTTTTTATTTAATAAAAGGTTGTAATGAAACTCATTTATATTCTAATGAAGTGATGATAAATTTCGAATCCTCAATTATTGATTACTTATATTAACTTTTTCAATAAGGAAAACAAGCTTCTTTGGAATTGAACTAATAATGATAAACTGAAAAACCATGTAAACTAATTTTCCGTTTGATAACTGATAAAGCTGAAAAATGTACAAAACCTAATTATCTCATTCTATTGAGGTTAGGAATTAAAGTTATTTGAATTGGTGATCTCAAATGTTTAGCTTCATATATTTCATATATTTTGGTTCCTTAACTTTCACTTTTTGCATCGAATAACTTTTAAATGATATTCACTTTTCATTAAATGTTAAATAACCATCCAATTTATAATTATACTAAACCAAATTTTGAAAACAATATAATATATTGTAAACATTTACTACTAATCAGTTTGTAAAATTTATCAGTATTCCATTTTATTTATTGTATAAGAGAAATAAGCTCTTTTTATCCATTAATATTGGTAGAATTCTCACTTCACATTCATGATATAATGGAAGTCTATCTAAATCATAATCAATTCTTAATCAGATTAATTTAATTACATTTCCAGCTTCAATTATTTTCAGCAGATCATAATTCAGTTGTGAAGATAATTGAAATAGTATTATGAGTTTGGATCATCTAGGGTGTCTAGATTTTAGTTCTTAATAAATCTGCTGAAATTGAAATAAAATTTACAACAGGTTGTATCCATTTAGAAGGTTACCCACAAAAGCATACATCACAGTCTGCTTGATTTCCATAGAGATTATTTTTCACCGTAATGTATTCTAAAAAATACAGAATTCTAAAACAAAAATAAAATATTCTTTTTTATTTGTACTTTTTATTTTTATTTTGAAATCACTAGATGATCAGATTTTGTTGGATTGAATGAAACTTATATCAAAATAAGTTCCCTTAAATTATGATATTAGAGAATATTTAACTAATAAACTCCAATTTTTTGGTATTATTAATTATACTCAAATTTCAAATAAAAATATAACATCGATACAAATCTAATTGATGAAATATGTGCCTAGAATTGGTGTAAATAAATATTAAATAAGAAAGCCTTTTTATTCATTAATTCTTTATTGATAATATAATTCTAGATCAATACTATAATTAAGTATTCTCTTAATCTTCATGATAGATGATCCTCACAACTCTGGAATTTTTATCAGATTTCATCTTCAAATAGTGAAAATAGCTTTTTTTTTGACAGAAATAGTTTAAATGATAACTACTTTGATGAAAATGAGTAGGATAATAAACTTTACAATATTTTTATTTTTTATACGTATTATCTCTTAATTAACTATAAATATTTGTACTGGATTTAAAAGATAATTTGCAATGAAAGTATTTATTTTAAAAAAAGTGAACTAAAAAAATCATAATTTTTATTTATTTAATAATTCATAAGTAGAATATGCTTGATTTTTTTTATCCCAATACACCAAATATTTTGCATTATTTGTTATCATCCCATAAATATCATCTGTGTAGCAATTCAAAAAATCAACTATTTTCAACTTTTCATAATTAGTTTGTCTAATAATATAAATATATGTCTTATGCCTTACTACTATCAAATTCATTTCTTTATTATATAATATTGGAAAACGATATTCATCAATAGTTGAATTATTTTTAAGCAATTAAATTGTCTTATCCTAATTTTCTTAAAAAATACCATCTATTAATTCAAATACAAAAAGTTTATCAATTTCTTGACCACCAGTTAACCAAATAAATTAATTGTCTTTAATAAACTAAACTTTAAATCCATAATCTTAAATTGATTATTTAATAATATATTTGAATTCAAATTTATTATATTCTCCATTTTCCCAAATGATAATTTAATACTTATTATATGCACATGATACTAATTATGTTTCTGATTAATTTAAATTCAATGCATTAACAATATCATCATGTTTATATAATGAATACAGATATTTTAGTTTATTTTTATTTAAATTAATCTTCCATACTTTTATAGATCTATCAGTGCTACCAGAGAATAGTAAATCTTCATTTTAATTCAATATAATACATCTTACATAATCTTTATGTTATTAATAAGCTTATGAACTAATCCAATTAAATTAGTCAACTTATTGCCAGCATCTTATAGTTTTGTCTCCTGCACCAGAAATAAAGGAATTCTATTTTTTACTATAAACCAAACATTATATATGTCTTGTATGTCCTTATAAATTTGTGATTAATTTGATTTTTCCATTTTGAAACTTCCATACTTTAATAATATAATTCTTCTCGGTTGATACCATTATCGATCCTGAAGAATCAAAAACTATAGCATTACATCTACCACTTTATTTAACAGATTAATTAATTAATTTTAATTAAATTTCACCATTTATAGAAATATTTGAGTAATTAATGTTGATAAATTTTTATTTTAATTCCCTAAAATCAACTTTATCTCGATTTATTTAATTTAAGTTATGATATAATTTAGCCATCCAAGATTTATTAATATTATTAATAAGATTGCTATTACTAGTAAAATTAATATTCTATTTGTTAATATAATTGTCTAATTCATCATAAAAACTGTATTGATAGTTTTATTTACTTTACAGTAATAAATTTTCATTCCAATCTTAAGCTATTCTAATTAAAGAATCAAATAATTTCATAAAATATGCCTTTAATTCTTTTGTACTTGTTATACAGTTTAATTACTGTTTCTATAGTAATAATTTCTAAATTTCTAAACTTTTTCTCATTAATATCCTCAATAATTTAAATCATTTTTTTAAACCCTATGGTCTTTACATCTGATTCAAAATTTTCCATGCATTAAGTGCACAATAGTCTTTTTTTCTTGTCTAATTTAGGATCAAGAACAACTAAATGAATTGATTTGTCATGTTTATTTTAACACTAAAAATCTTTTTCATTCTCTATCATTTTAGGCTTATACATTTAATTATGTAATAAATTTATTTAGAGTTTATTTATTTAAATTTTTGAGAGAAAATATCAAATTATTTAGGCTTTAAAAATAATAAAAGTCAAGAAAATTATGAATATAATAAATATAGAGAGAGATTTATGTCTTAATAGATATTTTAAAATATTGATTAAATGTAAAGTGCTTACTTGAAAGAAAGTTTTTAATTTTATTCCCAAATATATAAATTAATTATATTAATTCCTTATAAAGCTATTTATCCACAGAAATTAAAAAGAATTATTTAGATAATAACAAAGAGATGAAAATAACTAGGATAATAAAGCCTCAATTTAATATATTTACTTAGCTTATTTTTTATCCTAATATAATTAAATTAGAAGTAACCTAAGAGAACATAGGAATGGTCTACATAAAACAATTTAGAAATCATGAATATCAAGATTTTTGAATTATCCCCATATCCTTTTAACCATTTCACTATTTTTTGTAACAAGTACTACCAGAACTTTCAGATTGGATTCCTTCATCAATTTTCAGTTGAAAGCATCCCAAACCCAATTTAGGCATTATGAAAGATGTTTTCAAAAATATTGGATTTAATTATGGAGTTTATAGGGGCAAAACCAAGTATCTAATTGCCTTCAAAATTTTTTTACTTTTATTATGCTTTTATTCAGAATCATTTGAAATTTCTCATTTTTATTGAAGTGCTATTGCAAAGAATTTATCAATAATATTAAATGATACATATGAACATCTGCAAAATTTGTTGCAAATTTGAGTTGAACATTATAATTCCTAAGGTTAGTTTACACTTAAGTAACTTTAAATCCATTTGTGGCGCTTTGATCCATTATTAAAAATCCTGATTATACTTAACAACTAAAAGTTCAGACCAAAAGTCATAATTAAAATTTTTTATTCTAATTTATTTATTTAATGATTTAGATGCTTTTTTGAACCTAACATTTATATTTCTTATTAGTAGTATTTCTAATATTAGAATGAAATTATTATGAGAAAATTTATGATATTCCACATATGATTAGTTATTAGAAACATTTTTAACTTTGAATAAAAAGAAACAATTTGTATTATTATTACTTTTCTAATAATTCAAGCAAGTAATCCTAAATTTTGGGTTTAATTTTAATATTCTCAAATAGAATTTGAATTGGAAAAAAAGTATTACAATAAGAGAAAATATTGAATAAAAATTTATTTTAAATTAATTTCATGCCAAAATTAAGTTCTATTTAATAAGGTATTTTATTAATCTATTTTTATATCCACAGACCAAGGAAACTAATAAGTTGTTGGAACTGTCGAAAAAAAGCATGATTTTTAAATTATAATAAATTATAATCTTCCAAACCTTGCATTTAGAGAACTATATATAATATAGATGAATTTTGTAAAAGTTGGAGAAATATTTACAAAAATAATAAGTGTTTAAAAATCTTTGGAATTGGAAAGGTTTAGCAGGAGTGGAAGATCATTTTAGGAATTTATTAAGTTGCCCTAGTACAATGGCTGATTAATATTCTTCTCTTTTGAATGGAAAAAATTGAATATTTAAAACTATCAAGATGCGACAAAGTTATTGGACAAACTCATTGATTAATAAATGGTTTATAAAAGAACTTAAGTATTACATTTTGAAGAAAAGAAATTTTGAGTTTTTAAAATTAATTATAGTAAAGATGAAGATAAACTAAAATAGTTTTATATAATCTGGATTTCTTCAAATTAAAGCAATACAATAAAAATATCTGCCTATATATTTAAATTTGAGAAAATAATTTGTTTCTTATTCAATAACAATATTGGATAATGAATGAATATTAAGTTGCAGATATATTAATTTACACCCACTATACAATTGAATACCTATTCCATTATTCTATGATGTTTCTAAGAAGATTTAGGCAAAGAGACATGATCTGAAAAAACTATTTATATTTCAATCACAAGAGAGTATGATAGTTATTATTTTATTAAGCAAAAATTTTGTAAAGTTGAACATTCATTAAAAATAGAAATGTTGAGAAATTATTTTTATAATAAAACTGAACTACAATCCCCCTTCAGTCTAATTATTTATCCTTCATTTCATTCAAAAGAATTAATAAACTTAAATTTCATTGATAATAATATAAATATCAAGCAAAAATTGCTTCGAAATAATTAATTTGACTCTAACCATTAAACAATATATTATGATGATAAAGTAGAGATTAGGATCAAAGTGATAAATAGTAATACTAAAACCTCACCAAAAATTATCTATAGATGCCTGTAACTTATTTACAAATTTAATTAATGATTGTTCAAAATCGAATTAAAACTATATTGTAAATTTGAATTTTGGCATGTTATATAAATAAAAAATAATTGGCTAATTAATGGCATCTAATATACTAAAGTACTTTAAAAATTCTATTAGTAATTTCTTATAAATATCTTATGATTAGATATGTATATCAATTATGCAATTCCAGTCATAAAGGGTTATATTAATAATTGTATTTATCTATAAATTATGATTTTAATTAATAATTCAATACAAAAGAACATTATTTTTTTACATTTATATATTTATGAATTAGATCTCGTTATTAATCAATCTTTATGGCTAATTTAATTCAATAATTAAAGATATTATTCTTTCTCAATTTACTCAATTTCCATTTTAATAAATATATATGACTAGGCAAAATTAAATAAATTCATAATCTATTAATCAAATATACTTTAGATTTGATGTTACTTAATTCTCTTTATTTGAACTACATATTGAAGTTATTAGTGCAATAAACTAAGATAATTTTATCAAATAACATCATTATTAAATTAATTTTCTATTAGTATATAATAGTATTTAATTTTTATTCTATTTACCCCATTTTAAATTTGAAACCTGAGTGATTTGAAATAATTAATAATTTTATGAATAAAATAGAAACTTAACAATCATATAATCAGACATAAATCTATAAACAATAATAATAATAAGAGGAAGCACTTATCGAATATTATGTATATTAAGACTTATAAAACTTGATTAATTTATTATATTCAAGAAAAGCTATCCATGAATATTTTTAGGATGATCCTACTAATCCTTTAGTTATTTTGAGTAATAACAAAGTTATTTTATAATTAAATTTATCAAGTGGAATTCACACAGATTTGTAATATTAATATTAATATAAAAATGAATTAAAGAATAAATTAAAAAATGAAAAAAGTATTGCATTATAGACTCTTAAATATGTGGCTTAAGAACTTATGAATTAAGGTGGAACTTAAAATTAACATTAAGATCCAACCAAAGATTATCTAAATTAATTTATATAAAATTATGAAGATGAAATGTTTCATTTGAATCAATTTTAATTATAAAGTACTAACTATGTACCTTAATTTAATGAGTAAGTTTTATCAAAAATAATTTCATCAATTCAAGTTGTAGATCATTAGACAAATTAAGTAAGACAGAATGGGACCTATTAGAAACCAACTTAATAATAATTATTAGATAGAGCATAGTAATTATCTATTTAATTATAGTGTATATTTTCATATGACTAATTAAAAGTTGAATTAAATTAATCCCTAAAATAATTAAACATAGTTAAATAATAAATAAGAGATATGTTTTCAGGGCTAATAAGATAATATTATAAACATTGCTAATCCATAATAATTTACTTCTTCAAATGATCACAATACACAAGATTAGACAAAATTTAAAATTAATAATGAATAAACGAATTTATTCAGTTTTTTTTAGTTCTTAGGATATTTTAATTAAACAGGAACCCAATAGGTTTTTGATAGGGAAATAACAAGCTTGTATAATTAGGTCTTCCAGACCATAAATTATCCTAAAAACGAAAACTATCCTGAAATACAGTTTGCAAGATATTTATATTCTAAAGGTTATTTAAGACATCAAATAATATTACATTATTATTTTCAATTGTTCGTTGATTATTAATATACTAGACGTTATCAGGAATTATAAACAAATTTAATTACTGAACTTGTCTCAAATAATAAAGGAACAATAGATGAAGGTTTTTATTCTTATTAGTATAATCAAAAAATTTTGATAGAAAAATTTATACTTAAAAAAACTTAGATGAATTAGACTCAAAATATACCTAATAGAGAAGTGGATATAAAGCAAGAAATATTAGATTATATCTGGTAAATGTATCAAAGCTATTTGAATTAATATTATAAGCCTCAAAAGAATTGATATATAAATACATTTAAAAAATATAAAATGATATAAATTTATTTAATGTTAATATTCAAGAAAAAAATTTAAGATTTATGAAAATTTTAAAACTTAAAAATAAATAATATATTTTTAATAATCTTATAATTCAAAAGTATCATATTTCGTCTCTCTTCAAATGATGTTCATAATCTTCATAGAATATATAAGATTTCACAAAAACATTATTTAAATTTATATAATACATAAGTTTTCTCAAATAAATTATATATTGACTTAATTAATTAGATAGTTGCATTTCTTATATATAAGGCAAAGCAAGTCTTATAGAATAATTTCAAGTATTAAATTAAGATATTAAGTTGAATACTTAATTATATTCTACTCATCTTAATATAGTATATCTCTTTACTATTTATTTAATTTTTACGATTATTCTCATCCATTTATATAATTATTATAAATTCTTGAATATTAATAAAAGTATAATAAATTTGAGTATCTAATATTTTATTATATAATTGATGATAAAATTTATTTAAAAAATATATAATATTTCAATTATTAATCTAAAATTATTTAATTTATATCTACTCTGAATCAAAATCCCAAGTTATTATATATTCTGCATCATCACTTATTATTCCGTATATCCATGGATTATATCTATTTCCAAAATCAATACTTTATTTTAATTATAATAATTCATAAGTTATTCCTAAATTTAAAGATTGATCATTTGAAACCCTAATTATTTATAGTACTCTTCCATATATATTGAAAATAAAAGACTTTTTTTAATTATATACTTATTAGAAGATACAACATTAATCTTATCTATTAGAATTTAGTAAGTGCTAATTTTATTTGTGATATAAATCATTTTTTTCACAATAAAAATTCATGTAAGACTAATTATATGGTTAGAATGTAAATTAATTATTATTAATAAAACATATTCTATAACCATATTGTTCAACAATTACTTTCTATTTTATAATCTAAATGTATTTTTACAATTAGAATTAGTATGTTCAATTATTAAAATGAAATAGTCCTTTCCACAAGATATTAATCTAGTAATTTAATCCTTTATTGATAATCCAAATACATTATTATGTTCTTATATAGTTTATGAAAAAGGTTTATTACTTTCAATTTAATGAGTAAATAAAAAACCTATATTACTACCCTTAATAATCATGTTTTCATTCAAAAAGTGTGCAAAATTAAGCATCTTATATTAAATATCCATAAAATTTCTAAATATATTTTGGATTAGCCATTAACCTTGATGAATATTTACAAATGAATGTATTTGAACCTAAAATAATATCTTATTTCTGTTTTGAAAATTTAAAGTATAGTAAATAACATTTCTAAAATTAAATAGTTATAATAATTTATCTCTCCACTTTTAAATGCAAAACATTTAATAAAGTATTCTGTTTAATCTAAAAGCAATGTTTAATTTTTGTTAATTGCAATTGCGCGATATAAAGAATTTTAATGTACAGAAGACTATGGCACTAATTTGTAAGAAAAAGTCTATAATTGTGACTAATTCATTATATTATTAAATATATTACAATATTTGCTTAAATATTTTTATTATTATTCTTATGATCAAACTAAATATGATATGCTCATTTCATTATCAAATACGCAATTAAATCAGCGTAGTATATTTTAGTGTGAAATTGTAATTTGTCATCCTAAAAAGAGATGTAATTTGTTTTAAAGGATTCACTTTTATTTGAACAATGATAAAAACAAAGTCTAAAATACACTATTAGGAAACTAATAAATTTTAACTGTCAATTATATGCATTTTATAACCTTTAAATTATCCTCATTCTATCTTTTTATGGAATAAATTTAAAATCAAAGTATTATATATTACTTTGACCTAACTTAAATTAAAGAATATCAAGAAATTGATAGATCTAGAGAATAAAGATTTAAAGGAAAAAAAGGAGATATAAATATAAATTTTATATTAAGCGAAACTAACACTTTGAATAGTTTTTCTTTATTAAAAAATATCTTTTTTTTAAAGAGAGAAAAAAAATCAAAGCTCTATATAATTGTTAACATTTAACAAGATTTTGCAAACTAAAAATTCTGTTGACATATTAAAAATGTAGTCATTAATATATCATAAATTTTCGTTCATTAATCTTCATAGAGATCCTAAAAAAAATTTTGTAAATGTCTGAAGTGTTACGTGAATGTACTAACTATTATTAATGAAAAAAATAATAAAGTCAATTGAAAGAAATTATAAAAAATTATTGGATCAATAAGGTTATAAAGATGAAAAATTAGGTTTTATGTGCTAGGATAAAATTATGTATATATAATATATAATATATAATATATAATTAATATATTTTTAAGTAGTAGTTGATTATAAGAATAAGGATTTAAATTAGGGGATTGAGTTGAAGTCTCAGATAGATTATATGAAGGTTCTAATGTAACTCATACTGGTGAATAGTAAAAAGGGAAAAAAGTTGGTATCTGGTTGGAAATATACATTTAAGTTAGTAAAAATTTGAAATTTAGATAAATACAACATTTATTGTTCTAAAGAATTTTTTATTTGATGGATTTTTATAAAATTATATATACCTATCATAATAAATTCACATTTAATTTTTCATTCTTTTTCAGTATTTATGTTATATATAATAAAAAATCCAATAACAACAATTATTTCTTATAGATACAAAAAGGAATTAAAAAATCAAATTTAATTTGTAGTGTTAAATTCATTTTCAAATTGTAATTTTAATCTCGATCCATTATTATTTAGTTAAGTTATCCCAACAACTTTTTTTTATTTTAAAGTATTAATAATAAAACTATGAACATCAAATGGTATTTTCTCATTTATTTTGAATTGAATTATTAGTTTCATTGTATTATTATTCAAAAATGATTTTCATTTGTTCATATTCAGTTTTAATAACCTCAAGAGTACACTCAACCACTATTTCTTAAGTAATAGAGTCGATTTTCTAAATTAATAATTATCCTACTCATGCCATATATACCTTATAAAAATTCTTATTTATGAAAACTTATATCTAATTTATTAAATAATACTTTCAAAAAAAGTAAAAGAGTTGAAATGTCTCTAAAATCTTAAATAATTAATTTAATTAAGCATCAAATTTATTAAACATTCTTAAATAAAATATAATGATTCACCTATATTTTAAAAGAAGAGATACCTAATTCGTTTGAAATTGACATCTTCTAAATCTAGAGATAAAACTATATCACAACATATGATTTTCTCATTATATTTGTTAATCCTTTTTGTATTCAAATATATTTATTTGAATTATTTTTTAATTAAGCTAATAGATTTATCTTTTATTTTATACCTTTTACAAATAATGAATTATAATATTTAGAATATATTGACAGAGCTTACTCAGTCCAAATAATTTGATCATTGTAATTTCCAAGCAATCTTATTTTAAAATTTTCTTAGAATATCTATTAACTATTAACCAATAAATATATCTATGTTTTTATATACTCTTTGCTTATAATAATAACTGATGAAGTGTATTAATATATAATGCATTATCAAATATTCTCATATTTACAATTCTCATATTATATATTGATTTGACTAAATAATAAAGAATAGTTTGAATCTTCAAACTTATCCATACTTACCTTTTTTAATATCATTCTTCTACTTTTACTTTTTATTCTTATTTTAATTTATAATAATTGGATTCTTCTATAAATAAAGAAATATTCATTCAATTTTCAATCAGTTTTGGTGACCGTGCAATCTAACTTTTTTCTCATTCTTATGTAATATAATTACTATATTTCATGATATTAAATCATTTAATTCAAGGCTTAATTGAATTTAATTATTTCAATATTTAGTTTGTTAATTGGTAGCTTTTCTTACTTTTTATTTTACTTAACATGATAATTCATTTATTTCTGCAATCATTAGAATTAATTTTTAGATGAAGCCTTCGACATTATATTAAACATTTAAATGATCAATATATATAATTCCATTTAAAAAATTACCAAAATAAAGATATTTATACATCTAAATGCGATTAAGGATCATATTGATAAAGTATTACTTATAAGGATTATATAGCGAAATCTTAATTTTATTTATTTAAACTAATTTTATGAAAATCAACAAGAATTATTATCGATGACTTTTCGATTATAAATATTAAATTATCCTCTCCACAAGAGATCACTTTATTTTATTAATCATTTAAACTTAATCCTTGTACATAATTTGTATGATCTGAAATATTTTATTAAAATACAAATTACTATTGCTTCTACCAAAATTTAATTGTTTAGTCATCAATTCCTGATATGATAAAAATCATCATTGTTGTTTATTATCAAACAATTTATGTAATTATAATGACTATTTAATATTTATTAGCATTCCCATTAACTATTTTAATTCATAAACTAAATAATAATCTATCCATATCGATTCCCAAAGAGAAATTGAATCTATTTTTTTATAAAATTTAAAGTTAGAACATCTCCTGTATTTTCACTTAGTTTGTTTCAACTATTCTTCTTTAAATTCAAACACTTTAATTTACTTATTACAACCAACTAATACAATTGTATTATCTTTATTTATAGTTATTGCTCTACAATATTCACTTTAATTAATTGACTTATCCTATAATAAATTATAAGTGAATGTCTTTAAATTTAGTTAATGTTAGTTGTTGTGTTTTCTGTTGTTTTCTATTTTTTTATTTGTTATTATTAAAGTTAAACTTGAGTGTACTTAAGATTTTAGTGAATATTAAAATTTATTATAGGTTTTACTTCTTGAATTAGTTAATTAATGAATGTTTGTAGGATGGTAAAGAGATTTAAACAAATGATGGTGAGCAAGAGGAAGCTAATCAAGAAAAGCTTCAATTATGTTAAAAGATGACTAATCATGAGATATATTTAAATAGCTTACATCTAACTATTATTAAACCCCTTTTAGACATTCTTCAACTTTATTTTTCAATTAGTCAACAATAGATTGAGTATTCATTTTACTTATTATTAAGATATTGAAATTAATTTATTTCTTCAAAATTTTAATTACCATAATATTTTATTAAAAAAAGAAGAAGATAGAAGAGAACATTATTTTATTTTTTAAAATTCACAAAACTTAGAAGGATTAGGCCTATAGAAATTACAGACATTTATAATGATATTAGTTATTTTGCCATAGTTATTTTATAATTTTAATTTCTAGCGAATTTGATAAACAATAGATATTTCACTTATGTTTCATTAAGTATATGCCAGAATAATAATTTAAAAATTTTAATAAATAAGCTATAAGATAATGAAAAAAATTATATTGAAAATATTTTTATTGTTCTACGGGTACCTATTTGATAAATCAAGCACAAGCCTAAAATTTAATTTTCTTTATTATCATGAATTAATTATAATTTATCAGAATACCACAAAAAATCATTACTATAAAGAAAGAATATTTAAATATTAATAATTTACAATCAAATTTAGATTGGCCATGAGATTCTAATAGCAATATTAAAATGGATTAAACTAAGAAAAATGTGATTCATTATTTGCAATTAAAGTACTTTAAATAAAATAATCAACTAAAC